CATATGTACTTTACTTACAGAAAAGGACTTTTCATTCTACACAGCCAACAAAAAGTTAAGTGTATTTGAAAAAAATAGGTAAAACAGACCACTTTAGGATCCCCTTAACTGGCACGGTTTTGCGATTTGCAAAACCGTGACGATCGTGCTTATCGATCGTTTATTTATAAACACCTGGTGGTCGTGTCGTAATCATCGAGATCATCGTACTCCTCCTCGCTGTCGTCCTCGAAGGGCTGATCGCTAAGCACGTCGTCACCGTCAGAATTGTCCTCGTCCTCAGCGTCGTCGTCCAAATCGTCCTCATCGTCGAGATCGTCCTCATCCTCGTCGAGGTCATCGTCCACGTTCTTCGGGATGGGCAGATCGATCGGTTTCTTCGTCTTCACATTCTCTGTGAGAAAAAAGGACAAGCATATTCCGCGCGTTATTTTCGCTGCATCCGCATCCGGCTTGTTACCACACAAATATATCTACAGCGTCGGTGCGATGATGCGCATTGATTCGGAAAATATATTCCCGTTGAGAATCTTGGAGCGCGCGTGCTCGATGCAAAACCCGGAACGGCAAAAGCAAAATAGCGATGACTTTGACTAATGCCTCGTCATCATTGATTACATGAAAATGCCCATTGGCGCATTTTTTTCTTGCATTACTCTCCAACTATAACGACTCGGTGCACACACACACACACACACACACACACACACACATCCGCGCCGTGTATGTGCGCGTACGCGGCGCGATAGGCGCAATTATTGGAATTCCTGTCTGCGCGCACATTCCAGTATATCGACTGCCATTGTTTGAATAGTAAATGGACGGGACTGGGCTGGCCGCAGATAGCTCCGCGGAATTCTGGCCCATAATCTAAATCAATGCGCGCACCCGGTGATACACTACCAGTGTCATCGGACACTGGATTATTTATTGATATACTTGGAAAGAACGACCGCACGATGGCATGCATTGTAATTCGACGATTACGCGGACGAATGATTCGCGAAAACAAATCCGAGCTCGTCCATCGAAGGTCGATATATCGATGCCGGGCGATTCCTACGAGAATCGAGTACTTACCCCCGTGAGTGATAAATGGATGGGGGAAAAAAAAATCACCAGAAATTTTTATTCTGCACTTTTCACAAGTTATTAAAAAAAAAATATATATATATATGAAAGAACCTTCTCGCGCATTGAGTTCCGTATTAATTACCTTTCGCGGAACACGCGCTTTACGGGCGCGCGAGGAAAATTGCCACCGATGAAATAGCGAGGAATCCGAATGTTTTAACTATGTAAAACGCATTTCATTCCCATTCCAGCGCGCACCTCACGGCGCGCCGCGTCTTTCCAGTTTAGAAATTCTAATTTCACCGGGGTTCGCCATGGCGGGTGGGAGAGGAAAAGCGGGGGGGGGGGGGGGACGACATCTCGGCTAACTAGGTTCTCGAGATGTGTCTCATTCGAGCCGAGAATAGATGCTCTGATGAGACGACTTCTCGACTTCTGCAAAGGCAGACAAAAGAGAGCTCCGCCTGACCATATCCTCCCCGTCGCTCTTTTATCTGGGTCACACGGCGAGATACGCGGCGAACTGCACGCGTTGGCAGTTTCTCCGACGGACGCCTTATGTCACGACTGTTTGTTGCACGGGAGTTGCGGATATCTTCGCGGCCACGGGTTTATCCGGGAATCGATCGAAGGCGCCGGAGCGGGAAGGGATGACAGAAATACAATGTCATCAATATCAATAACGAAAGTTGCGGCGCGCCGCGAAGGAATTTTTAACGTCATATATATATGTATATACTTTCGACGCATTTCAAGGGAAATAAATCTCTGAAATAGTTGTGCGAGCGAGAAATTATTTCCAAGGTAAAAGATGATTTTTTTTTTTTTTCAAAATTCATCCCGTCCGTCAAACACGCTCGTCAATATCCAATTTATTTTGTTAAATTAAATATCGTTTATAAATTTATCTTCGCGAATTATTTCATCGCGCGCATTTTTCTCGTGCCGAAAGCGTCGGGGG